CAATTCTTGATTTCAGAGAGAAAAAACTAGCTGAGGTATCCAGTCACGATACTGGTGGTCTGCTACAACTTTTAAATAAGTAATCTGTCCACAACCCTTTCCCCACTCATGATTAGCAGGTGGGATTTGTAATAAGATAAATAGGGTTGACACCCTTATGTCCGCCCCTGCCCCCACCCATGGTTAGTGGGTGGGGGCTATTATAATTTTCAGGTGAGATGACCTAATGTACTGCACTTATTGACTTTAAGCCCAAAATTTGATTTTGTCTTTTGAAACATATAAACCCCATGTCCTAGATTGATCTTAGAATAAAACTATTTATATTTTGTGACTGGCTGACCTAACAAAAGTAAATAATCTTGCACATGCTTTAGTTTAAGGAAAAATAGGAAGGTGCCTGTACAAATGCTCAAAAAAGTCTTTGTTGTATGACTGTGCTAGACAGGCACTAAAGCTAAAAGTATTTATAAAAATGAGATTACAGGGAATTTCAGGTCACAACAAATCAAACATTCACCTCTTTTTAAATCCATTGCTGGGACAGAAGGATTATAAGCATAAAAACCTATCCTTTCAATATGAGCTGGCTAATGCTATCTAGCTACTTATATATTAGATTACATGGACTTTCAGCCAGGTCACAAAAAAACTTGCTTTGAAATTGCAACTAAGGGTAATTACAAACTTCTTGCTTGAGACACAAAGTGCTAAAGCTAATACATTATTTATATTATGACATGAGAAGGGCTTTCATGTCACACATTTTTAATTTGCTGCTCATGGCATGCTAATTATCTTGTGATTTAAAAATTAAAGAACAGTGCACTATTAGAATAGGGTTTAGAACTAGGTAATATTTAGATTATATCTTTCTAAATTATATTTTTATGTTATCAATAATGTGTTACACGAAGGATTACATATTGATTTTATAAAAATACTTCCCTGTAAATTTGAATAATCACTTTATCAATCTGGTAATTTACAGCACATTTATCAGTCATTATGTTGCTTGATAACAACAAATTACAAATGTAATTTATCGTAATCTTGTAAATTTAGATGTTGTATTGAAAAATAGTGCTTTCTGCTTTCTAAACTCCCACCACTTCTAAAAAACATTATGAAGTTGAATGGCTTTTGTTTCAATATTACTGTTCATGAACAGGCTTCTCAGACTCCAGCTGGAATGTTCTAATGATTTTATTAACATATTATCTTAATCATGCTGTATAAACATCAGCTACAACTTACACACATTGTCAGGTGACTCCTCAACTTAAAAGGAAACTGTAAGCACAAAAACAATGTTGGCTTACTGGAGTAGTTTTGGTGTACAGATAATACCCCTGAAGTCTGACTGCGCAATTCTGTGCCATTAAGGTATTAATTAACTTGGTTTATGCAACCCTTGTCACGCCTCCCCTGCATGTGACCTAGACAGTCTCTTTACACATTTTCTGTAAAGTGAAATCTATCAAGTAATTCCAAATTGGACTAAACCATCCAGCTGCGTACAGGCCATTACTGCAAAATTCATGGAATTCAATAATGTCCACAGTTTGCAATTCAGGTCCTGTACGGTCCAGACTGAACACCACCATATTACTAAAATTTGGACTGAATGCTTCCAATACAGATCCCAAGAATTAAAATCCAGGCTGGGAATTAAAAAAAAGATACACAACAGTTTGCTCATTGTCAGCACTATCAGCGAGCAGGTAATGTGAGGGTTAGTTATTTTTATTTTTTCAAAACTTTATTGTATAAAAATAACAGCATACAGTAGATTTGCATTCTACAGTTTAAATTCAATAAGAAAACTGATTCAATATGAAAGTTGGATAATACATAGTTGATACATCATGGTTTTTAAGTAATAAGGTAACAAGATATTTAGGTTACAAGGTAACAATGGTACATATGCACTAGAATGTAGTTTATTTCTAACTAGTGAGTATGGGAGGCTACGTCCAATTCCTTGGACCTGTATGTATCCGTGTGTTCGCATGAGCTGTTGTGTCAACCTGACTCCTGTCCGCTTTTAGGATACCCCTAGTTGAGATTTTATTACTAATGGCATAGACATGTAAATCTAAGTAAATCAAAATGGGTGGTGTCTCCCCCTTCCTGTCTCAATGGTCACAGCTTTGGTTTTGACCAAGTGCTAACTGTGCGTTGTAAGTAATCCGTAAGCATGAAGGAATGGTGTCTTGCTATCGTGATTGTCTAAGGAAATTGCACCACCTGTTCCATATAGCAATGTATTTCTGATAGGTGTTAGACAGCGAGAAGCGTATTTCTTCCATCTCTCTTGTATTCTCAATTTTTTGTATCCATTCCATTATAAAGGGGGGGGGGTTTGGTCATTTCCACATGAGTGGGATCATTTGATTAGCTACCGTTACTAAATGGAGGAGAAAAGGAATCTTTTGTTTAGGTATATGTCTCTGAGGGATAAGGAATAGAAAGGTATCTGGTGACAGGGAAATTGTTTACCCCAGTATATTTCGGATGAGGCCTGCAATGCGTACCCAGAATTTGTGTAACTCAGGACATAACCACCATATGTGTGCGGCAGTGCTGTTTGGTTGATGGCATCACAACATTGGTTAGAGGTCTGTGGGAACATGGAGTGTAATTTAGCTGGGGTGAAGTACCATCTGACTATGCATTTGTAATTACTCTCTAGAGTCACAGTGTTCCTAGATGATTTGTGTTGATTATGCCGTAAAGATAGTAGTGTCGTGGTTTGGTCTTTCGGGAGTACTTTGTGTAATGGTCGCATGCCTGATTCTTCTCCGATATCTCAGAGTGTTAGTGAGAGTTGTGATAATACATGTAGGCTTTCCCATCTAACCCTGGTGGGAATAATGGATTATGCATGATCGGGTAGAGTGGTGAAGGGAATGGGGATATCTGGTGGTGGTTTTGTATGTGAGCCCATATTCGCAATGTAGGTGTTATAGTTGGGTGACTTGGTTGTGACAAAAATGCTATGCTTGTTTTATGCCATGGGATGGTGTGTATCGGGGAACGAAAGCATGTGTCTTCTAGTCTTACCCATTGTTTGTTAGATTGTGGTGTAGACCAGTCATAAACCCTGGATAGGTGGATGGCTTTGTGATAGAGTTCCAGATCTGGGAGGCCTAATCCCCCTTCGTCTTTGGGCCGTTTGATCAGAGAGAAAGGCAAGCGTGTTTTTTTATGCGCCCAAATAAAGGTTGTGAATGTTTTACGGATCGTGTTGAATAGATCAATACATACAAAAGGAAGTTAGGTGGAGTGTGGCTGGTTTTCAAATATTCTGTCACTGTAAGAGACAAACATGGCCGAAGCCTAGTGCAATACAGTACGGTCTAATATATAGACAAACATATAGTTCAAGTGGTATAGTACTCACAAAGATGGAGCCTATATAAGATAAATAAATAAATAAAATTTACGAAACAAAATAATGAATAAAAAAGAAATAGGGATGGAGTCCAAATAATCTGTAAAAGCTTGCAAGACGCGTTTTGCCTGTTAAAAAGGCTTCTTCAGTTGCTTATAAATCTTTTCCGGCATCTGGTTGTTCTTATATGTCTCCCCTTGATTATTCATTGCGGTCACCTGATGTTGCCGATCGGTTCCGTCTCTTTCTAATGACGCGGATCTTCGCGTCTCTTTCTGATGACGTAAAAGCGTTCAGTCCGTATTTGGAACGCATTCTTGCATTCCACAGTCCAAAAAAAAAAACTTTATTGTTCTCAACCATGTTGTATATTGCATATATGCATATCGAAGACGGAAAAAAGGGGAGATCGTTATATCTTATGTGATAGAAAACTAAAAACTTACAAAAAATATCAAATATAGAAGTACATAAGACTTATATAAGTATTTCAATAATTATACATATTTTTAATGCATAACATCAATGCATCATTCCATTGCATAATAAAAGTGCATAGAGTGTCATACTTTATATTACATAAAGTGCTTTATATATTGGAAATGTAGAAGTGTTACAGGTGTAAAATTTCTTTATTTTATTATAAGGTGCTTGACATATTTGGAACTCTAATAATGTTCCTAATATTTAAGTAGGTTTGGTAGATCATTAAAAGTTACCATCTGAACTTTAAAAGTAATATTTATGAGGAAAAAGAAGGAAAGAAAAATATTTTATAATTGTATGAGAGTTGTATGGCAAAAAAATGTGTTATGTTAAAAAATAAATAAAAATATGTATAATATAAATATATGAATAAAATACTTTAAATCTATGTGTAATAAAAATGCTTAGAATATTAACACATACTTACGAAAAATGGCATAGTTCAAAGTCAGAGTTTAATCCATATGGTATAAGGGTGTTAAAATTAAAAATATATTTCATCTCTTCTTTTCCCAATTTGTTGATAAAATCTCATCCTCTCCAGTCTTTCTGTACTACTTTTAGGGCACAAAAAAAGAGGTCTTTTGGGTTTTGGTTGTGGACCATTTTAACATGTTGGGAGACACTATGTGTTTCCAGACCTTTCTTAATATTTCGTATATGTTCCGCAACTCTAATTTACGCCTTGAAATGTCCCTGCAACCTATTATATATAGGCAGAACAATTCGTCCATTAAATATTAGAGTTGCGGAACATATACAAAATATTAAGAAAGGTCTGGAAACACATAGTGTCTCCCAACATTTTAAAATGGTCCACAACCAAAACCCAAAAGACCTCTTTTTTTGTGTCCACACTTTGTGAGATCTTTCCCTGGTTTGGGCAATAATGTAATTGTAGCATTTAATGCTTGGGGTGGGATTTCTACCTGTTTAAGTAGGGAGTTGTATGTATTGAGAAAGTGTTGTGCTAGTGGTGCCGAGAAAGGTTTATGGTATTTTGCCGTCAGGCCATCTGGGCCTGGGCTCTTTCCCAAGGGTAGTTGTTTAATCGCCTCTTGGTATTCCTGCAGAGATATTGGTTGATCTAGGGATTGTCTTATATTGGGTATAGTGTGTGATATTCTATGTGCAAGGAATTCTTGTATTTCTGATGCAGGCGGTGGTTCAGCCTTCAGATTATATAAAGAGGAGTAAAATTTGTGAAAAGCTTTGGAGATATCTAACATAAGGTCGCCTCTTGGATGGAGGCTATAAAAGTGGCCTCTCTTTGCTTTTTTCAGAGCATGCGCTAATAGACGACCACTCTTACTGTCTTGAGCATAGTAAAGACTCTTTGTGAGGGTTAATTTGCATTTAGTTTGCATGTTTAGGTGGATATTAAGTTCGGTCCTTTTCTCCACCAGGGTTTTGTAAGTTTCTAAGTTTAGGTCGGTTTTGTGTTGTGTTTCTAGGTTCCTAATGTCTTGATGTAGTTGTGTTGCTCGTTCGTTTCTCTTGTGTTTGAGTGCCGATGCTAACTGTATGAATGAGCCTCTGATTGTACATTTGTGCGCTTCCCATAATATAAGGTATGGCATGTCGGGTTGTGTGTTCAGAGAGAAGTATCGGTCTAAGTCTGAGGTTATTTGGGTTATCACCTCGGGGTTGTTTAGTAGTGTGTCATTGACTTTCCACTGGGTCCTTGTGGCCAGCAGTGAAGGGATTCGGATTGTCATGATTAGGGGTGCGTGATCTGACCAGGTTATTGATGTATATGTGCAAGATGTGATGAGGTTCAGGAATCTATGGGGGAGAAAAAACATGTCTATCCTGGAATATGTACCTGTCGAGTGTGAATAGTACGAGTAATCTCTTTGTGAGCAGTGGTAGGTCCTCCAGCAGTCGTATAGGTGGTGTGAGTCTAACCATTGTTCTGCATGTGATCTAGTGGCAGATTGATATGAGTGTGCTGAGGACGTGGTGTCTAACGCGCTATCCATTGATATGTTGAAGGCTTCCAGTTTCGTGAGAATTTTCCGTAGTGTGGGGATCTGTTTTTTGTTGGGAAGATATATATTTGCGAGTGTAGTCATGGTTTTGCCTATCCTACCCTTCAGGAACAATGATCGTCCGCCATCATCTGTATTGTGATCTATGTATGTGAAGGGAAGGTGCGAGTTTAGAAGAATTGCTACGCCCCTTGATTTAGATCCATGGAAGTTGCTAAAATAACCGTTTGGGTAATGTTTATTTCGTAGTGTGGGGGCCGAGTTTGCGCGGAAATGGTTCTCTTGAATGAACACCACCTCAGCTTTCTGGGTATGGTAGTCATCTAGGGCCATGCATCGCTTTTCGGGGGGGGTTTAGTCCCCTAGCGTTGTGAGAAATAATGGTAATAGATGCCATTTGGATTTTTCTCTGGGTGTGGTTTAAGGAGGTGGGTTGTGGTCCAGCCATTCATGGGTTGTGGGTACGTAAAGTTTACTCTGAAGACCACAGTATGAGATTCTTGTTTCAATGTACCATGTAAAAGAAATAAAATAAAATTAACTTATAACATTAACTATGTACAAATAATCGGTTCTTAGTGGCGGTTTTGGTCTTATTGAGTACGTGAACCGAGAGGTATGATAAGGGCTGGTGTCGGCCTCTGCAGTGATCCAGATACTGCCGAGGGCTTCAACATGTGATTGACACCGCCAGTTTCTGAGGGCTGTGGGGTTTGCAGTGTATCATGGCTATATAAGCACTGGAAGTGGTGCGAGTAGGATGTTAGTGGTGTGAGATTTAAATATGTGTCCGTGGGTGTGCAGGCACCATGTCTTGGGTAAGTAATGGTTGTGGAAGCAGTCTGAAGATAAATGATTCCTAGTTAGATGCGGTGATATAGTTTGCTTGAGGAAAGAAGTGGCAGATGAGGAGCATTACCTCCATCCCATCTCCCCCCTCCCCGTCTCCCCCCAGGCCCCTGCTTTGTACTTATGCATCCATTTCTGATTTACCAGTTATCTATCTCCCCCTTCTATCTTAGAATGGAGTGTGCTAACTCACATATAACAGAAAACATATCAGTAAATTATGTTCTAAACATTCAGATTGAATAAAAACATATGTTAAAGAACTGTGAGTATATCAGTATACGACCTGTTTCTCATGTCTTTGCTGCCGATGTTCGACAGGCAGGGAAGTTTATGTTAGTCCATATTATGATGTGGTACTGTTTGTTAGGTAGCTGCTCTTTGGCGTTATTGACCGCTTAGTTTTGAGAGTTCATTGTAGCCTTGGTTCCGGAGGTCGTTTCGGTTTTTGATGACCTCACCTTTTTGCTAAGTCTGTGAGTTTGCGATTCTGATCAGTGCGCTTTGTCTCGAAAGGACTGGGTTGAAGATGCAGTTGGGCTCCGTGGAGGGATCCGGGAAGGAAGCGCGGCCTTGAGGTAAATTGTCCGTGAATGCTGAGGGTGGTGGGGGGTGGTGATGCTGAGGGTGGTGGTGGGGAGGCTGAGGGTAGTGGGGGCTGGTGATGCTGAG